ACTGTAAAATTGGCCTCCTACAAGTCATAGGTGAAAGAGCAAAATCATGAGACCAAAATAAAGCCACTCACTGGGCATGGATCAGAATTCACTTTGCACTCCCCCTCAGTACCTGGTCCAGGCCAGGGAAGCTACTGATCCAACCAGTGGACCAAATTTGGTGCTGAATCCTGGTCACGTGCCACCTGAGACACGTTGTGCATATGCTAAGAAGGAGACTAGAGAAAATAGTTGCTGAGCTTGAAGTCAGAGGTGGTGGAACAATTTTTATAATGGGGTGCTGAGAGCCACTGAACCAAACAGTAAACCTTGTATATAATGGAAACCACTTCACTTCAATCCAGAAGGTGCAACAGCACCCCTAGTTCCAGCACCTGTACTTGAAGAAAGAACAAAAACCTCCTAGTAGGGAGACAGTTGCTCACACATACACACCACCCATCTTCCTGGTGGATCACTGGGAAGTCCCACAGTATTGTGCTAGTGATCTGCCCAGGACTGGAGTTGATTATCGCTCCCAGTAGGTTCTCCTGCTACCTTCAGTCTCAGTGACCTTTGTTTAAACAAAGAAAATAGTATGTTTAATCAAAGTTAAAGATTATAGTCAATTCTGGAGGCCTCAGAAGCTGCGATAGCTGGAAGGCTGCTGAGAGTACCAATCAAGGACTCTGAGCCTCCAAAAATGTTTCATGTATACGGCAAAGGCACCTGGAGCCTTTGATAGGCCTTTTTTTTTAATGTTCAGTGTAAATCTAGATAAATGAAATGAAAGTAGTATTGTGAAAGTGAGTAACAGAATTCTGCCCTGTAGGTGTTTCATTTTTCTGTTTGTATGTGGAAAAAAACAGCATTCATCTGCTGCCTTTCTTCACAACAAATAATTAAATACTATGCTATCTAGTTTGCTTGGTTTTTTGCAAACTCCCCCCCCATAAACGTGCCTTATTTATATTTATCATTATTTATTTACATAGCAGAAAGTGTGCTTGGTGCTTTGCAGACATGTATGAGGACCAGGTTACTGCCTCAGAGAATTTATGATTTAAGGCCCTGATCCTGCAAACACTTATGCACATGATTAACTTGAAGCATGTCAGTAGTCCCGCTGGAGCCAATGGGATTCCTCATGTAAATACATGAGTCAGACAAAAATACAAATGGAGCATGAGGAAAGGAGTATGACATGAGGGCAGTGACTGAGCAGATATGTTTGGCGTGTGTATTCTTTGTCGCATTTTATTTTTATAAGCACATTCAATGCGATTTGCCATATGCATAAGTGTTGGCAGAATCAGGCCTCACAAAAAAATACAGTTATAATTAAAGTGGAGATGTTGAACATTATAGTGTCTAAGCATTCTTTTCAGAAAGTTATAAAACAGTTTACTGTGGTTTGGTTCAGGTAATATTCAAACTCAGAGACGAAAGAATGACTTTTTAAACAATGTAAACATGTTGGGTGAGATCATGGCCTCCAGATGTGCACATGGATCTCATACGAGAGTGAGCGAATGGGGGGAGGTGACTCAGCTGTCTTCATGGCAGAACCTCCTTCCCCAGGATTCCTCTACGTCTTCAGGAACTGAATTCGAGAAGGGTGTGGGGATGAGGCAGGACAGGATGGGGCATGCATGTTAAATGGGGACAGGTGCACCTTGTCCCCTTGTGGAGATAGATAGAAAAGATGAATGCTCCTTCACAGTTCAAAACCCCCCTTTAGGCAACATAGCAAGGCAGCTATGGTCACAGGAATCTCTGGTAGTATGGCTCCAATGGAGACATGTTACCAGGCAGACAGGCTGTCGGGAGTAATGAGCAGACACAAAGCACTAGGTCTCGTCATAGGGGTTAGAATAGAATATCAGGGTTGGAAGGGACCTCAGGAGGTCATCTAGTTCAAACCCCTGCTCAAAGCAGGACCAATCCCCAACTAAATCATCCCAGCCAGGGCTTTGTCAAGCCTGACCTTAAAAACTTCTAAGGAAGGAAATTCCACCACCTCCCTAGGTAATGCATTCCAGTGTTTCACAACCCTCCTAGTGAAATTTTTTTTCCTAATATCCAGCCTAAACCTCCCCCACTGCAACTTGAGACCATTACTCCTCGTTCTGTCATCTGCTACCACTGAGAACAGTCTAGATCCATCCTCTTTGGAACCCCCTTTCAGGTAGTTGAAAGCAGCTATCAAATCCCGCCTCATTCTTCTCTTCCGCAGACTAAAAATCCCAGTTCCCTCAGCCTCTCCTCATAAGTCATGTGTTCCAGTCCCCTAATAATTTTTGTTGCCCTCTGCTGGACGTTTTCCAATTTTTCACATCCTTCTTGTAGTGTGGGGCCCAAAACTGGACACAGTACTCCAGATGAGGCCTCACCAATGTCGAATAGAGGGGAACGATCACGTCCCTCGATCTGCTGGCAATGCCCCCACTTATACATCCCAAAATGCCATTGTCTTAAATGCAATGTTAACTTAAGTTATAACTTGAGTGTTGCTCCTAATTTGAGTCCTGTCCACATACACAAACCCTTAACTCGTGTGGTGATGCTTTTAACTTGATTTGACTCAAGAGGGGATATAGGCTAAACCTTGAGTGAGCATAACTCATCAGCAACTAATAATCTCTCATGTGGATACAGGCTAGTGCTAGTCAATTGCCACTAGTTCTCCAGTGCCATTCCAAGTTCCCCCTGTTTGCCCAAAAAGGACAGACAAGTTCTCCAATAATTTACTTGGAAAGAATTCATAGAGCAGCTTATCTTACTGTAGCACTAAGAACCATGGGATATGTTCTCCAGAAGTCTTAGTGCCACACAAGAGCCAGTTCAGTACCACTGTGGACACAGCAACTTGAATGTGGTTTCTCAGTATGGCTGCTCCCACTTGAGGTACGCTAACTTGAGAGGAGTCACTTGAGTGAAGACATACCCATGCATAGCCTTGTCATCCTGCTGATCCTGGGGGATCCTTGTTCTGAAGTACCAAGTCTTGTCTCATAAGAGAAGAACTCTTTAAAAAGTCATTGCAGAGGTTTTTTCTCCTTTCTTTACCTTCCGTGTGGCGGGGGGAGGAAAGAGGGGGTTACTGTGGGAAGAGGCAATCCAGCCCCTTACACTGTTTTTATGTGCTCTTTTAGTGAAAATGCAGCATTGCGGGACAGGATGTCCAAGAATATTTTGACCAACTTTTCAAGTTTAAAAGCACTGTTTAAAGAGGAAGTAGGTCTCTTGTGCTTTATTGAAAATATTTAATTAAGTTAGATTTTCTGGTGTTTATTAATGCAGGCCCTTTTTTATTGTTGTACATTTTAAGTTCTTTTTGAATGATTTTCATAACAGTTAATTAGGGACTTCAAAATTTGTGGACTTTATTCGTAGAGGGAAACAAGGGAATAAGATTATATGCAAAAACAAAATAAATTACTTTTATTTATGTTTAAAATGTTTTAGTTAACTTTTTCTTAACCTTTTTAATAAAATGTTCATAAGTTTGTTAGTAGTGTACAGAAACCAAACACGAAAACATGCTACTATTCCATGATAAAAATTAACACAAAGGGCAATTTATATTCATTGTTATATTCATTCATTGTTCAGTCCTGAGAACTCTGCTTCATCAGTGTTTTTAAGGGGGAATTCCACATAATGTATTGCCAGAATCAGGCAGGGATTGCTGCATTGAGTGTTTCTTGAAATAGATACTCTGTCATCTTTCTCTTAAGTGATTCACATAATATAGCTATGTTCCGTTTGATCAAGTTCCTGGAAAAAAATAAAAAGCTTGAAAGAAGGGTGGGAAAAGGCACAAATAGTGACTGTGGTTCTGAAATGTAGAACTACTGCGACTGTGGTGAGAGGGCATAAAAATTGCATCAGGACTGTGACATAGACAAAGATCTTGAACCTGATTCTCATTTACACGAAGTCCCTTTTATACTATTCTGGTAACCAGCAATGACCCTGCATCAGCTTCTCCCAGCTGGCCCTTTAAATTACTCCCACTTGGCTCTGTCCAGTCTAGCAGCAAAGTCTCTCAAATAAACAAAAATTTGGAATGAAAACTCCACATCCAAATATCCCTTCCTCCGTCCTCTTCTCCTCTGAGCCCCACAGGGGTTCACACGGGGTTGGAGTGTTTTCAAATGCCTCTCCACAGTTTTGGAGGCTGTCCAGCAGGTTCCATCTCATTCTCTCTGGTCTTGGAGTTATTGCTGTCTCCTTCCTTTTCTCCCTATCCTTTATTATTCACATAATAAAATTTTCCTGTTAATTTCCTGTTAATTAATCTCATTTTCCTTGTCATGACAAAAGCATTTATTTTCAGGTACTTAGTATGTGACTAAGAGTTTATTCACAATCCCAGGTTTACCTGATTACTACCAGGTTGGTTGAACGTTGGGTACCATTTTAGTCATCCTAATGGGCCAACAGCCCCCAAGGCCATCCCTAGGCTCAGGGCATAAAGGCGATACAAAGTCACCTTTGGATTCCCTCGCCCAGGCCCTAAACTGAATGGAGTGGATGTTTGATATTCAGTTTTCTTAACATTTTTGAGCCTTCTTTGCTAATATTCAAATGTATTCATGTATTAAAATCAAATTTGATCCATACAACCAAATTTCAAAGTCAGAGCCCTGTGGTATTGTACACGCACATCTTTCTGACTGGGTCACAGCATTATGAGTCATTATGTCATATGGTGTTTTGCAATGGCAGTCTGAGTTTCAATAATTTATTTGCTCTCTTAAATAGCAAAAGTCACAGTGTTCTTCAAAGTTAGAATTTAAAATGTAGTGTTGAAGTTCTGAGTTATCGAAAGGTTTTGAGTTATTTTAGAAAGATGAGGAAAAATTGCTTTTTTTGAAGAATTACAATGTACTGAGAAATTACTTATCTTAGATGTAGGCCATTGTGTGTAATTGCATCTTTTTTAAGTACTGTGCAGCTAACATTTAATACAGGATGTTCTTGCATTTCCTTGACTTTACATGTTTTTGCTATAGTCGTTACCAGCCCGATGCATGCAAGGAACATTTGAAATGGCAAATAAAGAAGAAAACAGAGAGAAAAATAGATATCCCAACATCCTTCCTTGTAAGACTTAACAATTTATTTTCTAAATATCAGTCAATAGTCTGGATGCCTCTTATAGCAATCATGCCTGTAATATTGTCTGCATTCACTGAGCATACCTGAGTAAAGCTGATTAATTGACCCCCAAAATAATGCAATTTATATGTTACTAATCATACATCTGCAAAGTAAGCTTCTTTTGCAGTGGTGTCTCTTTGGATAATAATTGCCTTCCAGTAAATTTGTCTTTAATTTCAGCAGGTTTGATATGAAGCCTTAGAATTGCCCAAAAATGTAGGATGGTTCTCTTGAAACTCAGTTCAGATTTGTGCAATAAAAAAGAAAAGAGCTTTGAGTATATGGGCCAAGCTTGAAGTATCTAATAAACCTTATCTATTATTAGGAATGTGTTGCACACTATACAAAAATTATTGCATTCTCAGTAACCCAGTGTAAATATGGAGGTGCAGCAGGATTTTTATAGTGAAGGCTTGTTAACCTGCTATCCAAAAGCTCTGTGCACTGTACAGTTACAATACAATTCAAAGAGACCTCTTCACAACTACCTAAAACAAATTATTCCATCTATTCATCTAAAAATCCCTTTGAAACAGATGAGCCTTGCAGCATGTGTTCAAAGTCACTGTTTGCAGGCTCTGGTGAAACAAGAGTGTAAGGGACCAAAATCTTCCATAAGTTTTACATCAGTAAGGTCAGCATGATTTGGCCCATATGACATATCCGTTATATATACTGTATTAGTCAGCCTTTTATGTTATTTAATGATGGCGGAATAATAATGCAAATACTGTGGTTCATAAAAGTGCAGATCTATCACTGGCATGTTAAAGGGCTTTGTATTTTGAGGAAAATTTCTGATAGATATAAATACTATAAATCTACCATACAGACCCTAATAACAGTTTCTTTCTTTCCAGATGATCATTCCAGAGTCATTTTGACCCAAATAGATGGAGTTCAATCTTCAGACTATATTAACGCTTCATACATAGATGTAAGCTAATACATACATTCACTTTCATTCAGATTGCTAATTTTAATTGTAAACTAAATATCAAATAGATATTTGTCTTAAAGCATATCTTGGCAGTTCATTCTTTAACTAACCATACATTTTATTTGTGTAGGGTTACAAAGAAAAGAATAAATTTATAGCTGCTCAAGGTAATGTATTTTCCTCTCTCCATTTTTGTACTTATAGGCACCAGAATGCACTCCTCATCCCCCCCCACTCCTCGCACACACCCAGAAAAAACCTCACAGCCCACCTCAAGGTTAATATGTCACCAGATCAAAAATTCCTTCCTAAGCATGAATAAGTTGGTCTGCTAAATCATGGTCATCAAAGGGAGAGTTGTAAGTTAGAAAGACTAAACTGAGCCCATTGCCTGACCTAAAGCACATAATGTATCTAGAGGGAGGGGGAATGGCTGCTGCTCTTAGAAAAGTGGGACAAGCCTGCTCTCCAAGCAGCAGCATATATGTCTCCAAGAGCTGTGGACCAACCTGCCTGGAGCATGGACTGTGTTTGAAATGCCAGCCTACTGCTGGAAATATTCTGAGTCCACTCACCCCACCCAATCAATCTGGAAGCTAGATAGACCCAACTCAGTTTCTGCCTCTACTGGTGCAGGCCCATTTGATGATAATGGTATTACAACTGGTCGAACTTCCAGTCATGCCAGTTGGAGCTATTATGCTGGGTCTTGCAAACCGTCCTTGTGTAAATACAAAAATCCCATTGTTTCAAGAAGTGATTACAGTGATTGTATAACATAGTAAATGTTTTCTGTAAATTGATAGAGTTCATATAGCTGTGCTTCAAAGAAGTGAGATTTTCAAGTGTACATATAGTGCATCTGTAAAACTGAGGTATATTTTCATGAGATATGAGCTGGTAACTCATGAGTAGAAGAGAAATGTGTTCTTGTGTACTGTGATATTGCTTGTTTTCTTTATGTCTCTTGAGTATAGAACTGTATTCTATGTGCAGGACCTAAACAAGAAACAGTTAATGATTTCTGGAGGATGATATGGGAGCAGAAATCTGCAATTATTGTTATGTTAACAAACTTGAAAGAAAGAAAAGAGGTAAGTAACTTGTATTTCAGTTTTGATCAGCCTGAATCCCCACATTAAGTCCCCACATTAAGTAGCCTCTGGCTGCAATGTGCAGCTTAGCATCTGACTGTTAATGGCTGCCACCACTTCCTTTTCCAGTCCTTTCTGAGGTTTTAAGTCTCTGCTAAAAAAGTAGTTGTAACTTACAAAATTTCAAGCTTATAAATATTCCCTGGTGACTAATTTCCTCATAACGAATCTTTTTATCATGTGTTACACTGCCTCACTGTCAGACTTTAAGCCAAAGGCAAATTGAAAGGACGGCCTTTTTTTGCTTCTGCTGTAATGTATGTGAGACTGGCCTTATAGGTTGGACTAAGAGTAGGAATGAATGTTGAATTGATATTACTCACTTTTAAAAGTTTTCAGTTAAAAAAATGATTACATTCATAGTGTGATCGCTACAATTGGATATGGCTAATTTGAAAACAACCTATTTTATTGTGAAAGGTTTCATTACAACTCTGTTTGTGGTTTGCTGTTCTCACATCTGTCCCCTGTCCCCACATCTGTATTGTTCCTCCCCTCCCCTCTGTTCCTATTTCATATGTATCCTTCCTTGTGTATAGGTTGAACGGTAAAATTTACTGAAATTACGCAGGCTAACACTTCAGAGCTCAAGATTATTACACAGTTAACTTCTTTGCTGACTCACCAGTAGTGATAAAAAAAAATGATAAGAAGCCTGATAAAAAACAAAAAACCTACTAATGCACCATCACAAATTTTGCCCTTGGACAATTTTGTTTTAAATGCCTATTTATCCTCGTGGGCTAGTTAGTTAAACATTCCAAACACTTAAAAGTGAAGGTTTGGAGCTTGGATTCCTCAGGCAATGTGAACTGGGGGTGCAGTGAAAGCAATATGCCAAGTTACTGAGAACAATGTACTGTGTTCTGCTCAAGAGTGACCTCTCCTGCCAAGTAAAGAGTAGTGTTGATAAACTCCAAAATAACTCCCAACAATTCCTCCTTAAGGTCAAAGGATAATTATTCTGGAGGGTGAGGGTAAACATCATAAGCATTGAGATAGTTAATGTGCCTTAGTGATGTTAGTTAATTTATACAGCAGCTCTTTACAGTTATATATATTTATCAGAATAAGGAAAAGCTATTTAAGTTTGATTGCTCCTAACAGCTATGAAGGAGGTACTCCCTGTTTGCGTATACAAGGCCCTCTCCCTTTCCTGTAATCTTAACATTACCAGCCTTCCTGCATACTCATACCAAGGCCTGACATACTGATGCTAGTGCCCACAAATGTCACCAAATCTCATTTGAACAGATTGGAGACTCCTTTCAGGCAAATACCCATCAGGCTATAATGGTTGGTAAAATGCTTATTCCACAGAAAAAGACATATTGCTATCTTTTATTCTGCTGCTAGAATCCCCATGCAACTGATGACTCTCACCCAAGGTTAGCTGACGTTTCCCACCTATTAACCAGTCCTATATCTGGAGTTGGGGGTTAAAGATGTCAAACAAATGCATACTATCAGAAAAATAAACAAATAAAAAAGATGGAACAGTCATTAAAACAAAACAAAGAATAAAACCAAAAACATCGCTCATCACGATCTGGCTGCCAAAGGAGCATGTGAAGACTCCATCCAAACCATGTATTTCCTGTTGTGTCATTGTGTAACAATGCAGATAACTAACACTGAGAGCATTAGCACAAAGCCTTAAAATCATGTCCTGTTTTAGATTAAAAAACAAACATCCTCTAAATTAGGGCTGTCAAGCAATTTAAAAAAATGAATTGTGATTAAAAAAATTAATCACAATCGCGTGATTAATCACGCTGTTAAACAATAATAGAATACCATTTATTTAAATATTTTGGATGTTTTCCACATTTTCAAATATGTTGATCTCAATTTCAACACAGAATACAAAGTGTACATATTTATTTTTTATTATAAATATTTGCACTATAAAAGTAAAAATAGTATTTTTCAACTCACTTTATATAAGTACTGTAGTGCAATCTCTTTATCATGAAAGTTGAACTTACAAATGTAGAATTATGCACGCACAAAAAAATTGCATTCAGGAATAAAACAATGTCAAACTTTAGAGCCTACAAGTCCACTCAGTCCTACTTCTTGTTCAGCCAATCACACAGACAAACAAGTTTGTTTACATGTGCGGAAGGCAATGCTACCCACTTCTTGTTTACAATGTCACCTAAAAGTGAGAACAGGCATTCTCATGGCACTGTTATAGCCGGCGTTGCAAGGTATTTACATGCCAGATATGCTAAACATTCGTATGCCCCTTCGTGCTTTGGCCACTATTCCGGAAGACATGCTTCCATGCTGATGACACTCATTAAAAAAATAATGTGTTAATTAAATTTGTTCCTGAACCTCTTGAGGGAGAATTGTATGTCTCCTGCTCTGTGTTTTACCTACATTCTGCCATATATTTCATGTTATAGCAGTCTCGGATAATGACCCAGCATGTTGTTCATTTTAAGAACTTTCACTGAAGATTTGACAAAATGCAAAGAAGGTACCAATGTGAAATTTCTAAAGATAACTACAGCACTGAACCCAAGGTTTAAGAATCTGAAGTGCCTTCTAAAATCTGAGTGTGTCGAGGTGTGGAGCATGTTTTCAGAAGTCTTAAAAGAGCAACACTCTGATGCAGAAATTACAGAAACCGAACAACCAAAAAAGAAAATCAACCTTCAGCTGGTGGCATCTGAGTCAGATGATGAAAATGAACATGTGTCGGTCTGCACTGCTTTGGATCGTTATTGAGCAGAATCCATCATCAGTATGGATGCATGTCCCCTGGAATGGTGGTTGAAGCATGAAGGGACATATGAATCTTCAGTGCATCTGACACATATATCTTGCAACGTCGGCTACAACAGTGCCATGCGAACGCCTGTTCTCTCTTTCAGGTGACATTGTGAACAAGAAGTGGGCAGCATTGTCTTCTGCACATGTAAACAAACCTGTTTGTCTGAGCGATTGGCTGAACAAGAAGTAGGACTGAGTGGACTTGTAGGCTCTAAAGTTTGACATTGTTTTGTTTTTGAGTGCAGTTATGTAAGAAAAAAATCTACATTTGTAAGTTGCACTTTCACAAAAAAGAGATTGCACTATAGTACTTGTATGAGGTGAATTGAAAAATACTATTTCTTTTATTTATCATTTTGTATCAAATGTAGAAAAACATCCAAAATATGTAATAAATTTCAATTGGAATTCTATTGTTTAACAGTGCGATTAAAACCGCTATTTATTGTGATAAATTATAATAAAGTTAATCGTGCGAGTTATCTGCGATTAATCAACAGCCCTACTCCAAATATTCATAGAGGTTTAATTTTATTACTTTAAAATAATTGTATAGCTATATGCCATCAGTAATGGAAGTAGGCACACAATATTTAAAAGTACTAAATGTATGTACTGCATGTTTGCATAGGATAAATGTTATCAATACTGGCCAGATCAAGGATGCTGGACTTACGGAAATATCAGAGTTTCTGTGGAAGATAGTATCGTTCTCGTGGACTACACCATTCGCAAGTTTTGTATACAGTCAGTAAGTAATAGCACTCTTGCTACTCCTTAAGATTGGTTTTTATTTTGTTTTTTAAAGCAAAGTATAACAGAAATTCAGGCTTTCGTTTAAAATGAATTTAACTGGAAATTTAGTTTTTAACTAAAATTGAGTTGAAACATATATGTAGACTAAGAGAGCAGTAAGTTCATAGAATCAATTTCCACTTGAGTTGTTGGAGTAAAAGAGAATTAATTATGCAAATATTGATGGCTGTATGGGACTTAAGTTTAAAGAGGGATCAGTCAAATTGGATCCTGTGAGTAGGTAACCACCCTTGGAAGATATTTTCCACTTATCATGCCCCCCACCCCCATTCATTATGTGTTATTTTGGAGGAACTTGGGAGTGTGTTTGCCCTCCTTTGTGCAAAAATATTTTTGAAGTTAGGGAAAGTTTTTAAATCATTAAAAATGTAAAAGATATTAAAATTATTTAGAGATGGTAGAGTTCTTATCAAACCATTCAAGACATGAAGGGCCAAGCGCAGGCAAAGTGGCGGGGGGGAGGGTTACAGCTCCCTGATTCTCTGCCAGAGCCTGGCCCCAGCACTGGTTGGGGACTGTACATCATCTGAGGATAGTTGGAGTACATTGTGTTCTGGACACCCTCCTTCGCTCTCTTGACATGCCCCGTGCACCAGGGAGTGCAGAAGGGGAAACATATAAATTGACTTCTCCATTTATGCTCCTCAGTTGCAGAGTTATGGTCAATCTTCTCTCCTTTTGCAATGCCTGATCAGGCCACACCTCCTTCTGGTCCGACACTTCTGTTTTACTGAGTTTATTTTTTAAAAAGATTCTAATTGTGTAATCTTTTTTCTTGCCAGGAATAACCTTCACTATACGCATTAAATGCTTAGCATGCATTCAGAGGGATTAAGGCCTTGTCTACACAAGAATTTTCAAGAATTCTGTCTAATTTAAGATATTTTTAAAAACTGATTTAGTTAAACTGGTGCAAAACCCTGTTTAATTTAATCAGTGTAACGTTAATATTTAGACTAGACCTTAGAATTGCAGCAAGGATGCATCTTTTTAAATTACCATGTTAAGTAATGTTTTCTTCTTCTCCTCTTCTACCTGTTACATTCCAGTTCTCATTCTCATTGGGACTTTTTGCTTCCCAGCAAATCGAAAATGAACTGAGTGGACTATTTATGTATTTATAAAACACCTTCACTTCATCTCTGGCCATCAAACACTATTAAAAGCAACTGCAACAGACCACCAGCCGTCCCTGCAGGGGATGTGTGGAGGTCAAAATACCTTGAAATTAGGTCTCAAAAAGGAGAAAAAAATTCTAGTCTCAGGCAGAGGAAAATTAGTCCTGCGGCAGCTTGTCCACAAATCCAAATAAAACAAAACAAAGGGCAGCTTCCTTCCATGTTGTCCGCAGTTGTCAGTTCCACGTCCTGGATGTTTAAGAGGCAAGAACAGCCAGCTCTTCTCCCCAGATCTGACTGCTCAAGCAGTTTTTCAGAACTAGCTTCCTCCTTTCTGCCCATTGAAGGGGTTTAATCACCTTCCTGGGTCAAACAGGGAGGAGACACACACATTCCATCACAATAATATACATAACTTGCTGAACAATATCAGCTGTGGGAGACTCTCATCCACCATTACATCATTTACCAAGCCCATAATCACCCTAAAAACCTGAGTGAAGAGGTGATTTGGTCTTAACTGTGCCCTGAAGGCTAACGGTTAAGATTCTTGAGGGCAAGTGGGGTTTTCACTGAGGATACGCTACCAGCGGCTGCCAGGTATTCAGCTCTAAGGACTGTGAGCAGAAGTTCCCCAGCTAATGGCAGTTGGTGTGTTGCCACATGGGTAGAGGGGCCCTTGCTCAGGTGGTCTAGAGCAGAGATTGTCTCTCTTGCATGTTTGTGCAGAACCCAGCACTTTGGGGCCCTAATCTTAATTAGGGCCTTTGGGTACTACCATAGATTTATTTATTACTACTAGTAGTAATAGCCAGGACCCAAACTACAGACAGCTGAATAGAGCAGAGTCACTTGGGAAGTGCATAGGGAGACAGTGAAGCTTTCAGAAAACTGATATACATAATATGTTCCTGGCAGCTTACACGGCTAATCAGATGGGCAGCTGCATTCAGCGCTAGTTGTAGCTTCAGAGCAGTCCCTGTATAAAGTACACTGGAGTAATCTAATCTGGAGACCATTCAGGCATGTCTAAGTGTAACATGGGCCATATGGGAGAAGCTGCTAAGACTCTTATTTAAAAAGAACTCTTGGTCAAACAGCTGTATGAAAAAATATAGCAAAAAAAAAAGTTATCAAATTCTTCTGGATTGGAAATAGCTGGGAGTCTAGATGGCATATGGTATTTGGTGTCTTTCACCTGTAGATTCATATCTCCAATTTTACTATGGAACATGTTAGTGGTGATAACATTTGGTCACCAGTTGATGGAGACTGAGTGGTCTTTATGAAACAAACTGGTGGTCTTTGTCCAGTTCAAAGTGGAAAAGGCTTCATGTAATAATTGGCGTTAATTACCAGCCTTCTTGGCAGTCTGAGAAAGAGGTCAAGGACTGAGAGAGCATGGAGACTGAATTTACTGTCTTAGCCCAAGTGGAGGTTCCTCCAGATCAGGATTGGAAAACATTGGTGGAGCTTTCATTGCCATTGCCTGTACTCCTCCTGTTCTTTGCTTAAACAGAGTACATGGGTCACTAAGGCTGTACCTTTAATAGTTAGCACTGAAAATGTAAATTAAAAATAAAAGGAGAAAAGCTAAAATATTACCTTACAGGATTCATTGTATTAGAGCAGTCCCAGCTTCATGTGGTGTAGTATCCTGAGTCTGATGATGTACCAGTATCAGATGTATGTCCGCATCCTTATCTGCGTTGTTATGAAGCAGTTCATAGATACTTTGGCATCTTGCATCTCTCAATGGTATAAATCCGGAAGTTCTTACTCAGACTAACTCCAGTCAGAGTTTTTAGTCTGAGTATGGATGGAGTAAGAAGTAAATAAGGACTTCAGGATTTGGCCCATGGTTAATAGAAATTGTGAATCTTATTTCTCATGGACAGCACCCTGATGCTACTCAAATTTAAATGGCAAGGATGTGGGTTAGTCAGACTATGGTAACTGATCTGTTTGCAAGTCTTAATATAGGACATAAAATGTCACACTCATAGTCTGTTTGTGTGTTTCTAGCAACTTCATGATGGCTCTAAAGTTCCAAGGCTTGTAACACAGCTCCATTTTACCAGCTGGCCTGATTTTGGCGTGCCTTTCACACCCATTGGGATGCTAAAGTTTCTGAAAAAAGTCAAAACACTGAATCCTTCACATGCTGGACCAATTGTGGTTCACTGTAGGTATGTACGCACTCTAAACCATTCTGTCTTCTTGAGCTTTAACAGTTTTTAAAGTGCTTTGTGTATGTCAAAACTATATTTCTGTCTCTTCATTGAAAATGCCATAATTTGCATAAAAGTCAGAACTTGCAATGGTATTAGGCTCCATCATAGCCAGGGAGAAGAACGAATTCAAAAATTCTGCCTTTTCTCTCATTTTAAAATTGAAACTTCAGTTTTTTGTTCCCAGAGTGATAGGCAATCTGACATCAACACATTCCCTGTCAGAAAAGCAGATTTGTAACAAATGGGTTCACTCTGCCATTGAATGCTCCTCAGAGAATACATCCCCGAGTTTTCTCACAGCAGAATTGCCGTTTGCTCTTATAGTTTGCCCACTCTGTGCTAGATATGTTGTAATGTAGACTTGTACTTGAGATAATTTGTTTAACACTATGATGTCCCATTACTACATACTAATACACAGTGTGTTCCAATTCATGTACAAACACTTAAACCTCCTGCCAGTAAGGGGTTATTGATAAACCATTGAAAATGTGTTATAAAAATGAACAAAAATAGATCAGGTTTTGGTAGAAGTTCAAAAGAAATGTTACAACTTTTACATTCAGAACTGCTGTATTTTAGACATGAAGCAAGAAATAGTCTCTTCTCAGGAACAATATATCTAATTAAGATTAGATTAAAAAGAATAGAATAAGTGGCTTTGTGTTTTGTTTTGTTTTAAGGAAATCACTTTTTTATTTTGGGCTGTTGATTTGTTTTCAGTTGCTCATGTTTGATATTTATAAATATTCTCAAGAGACTTTAAAACATACTCTTCAGTGTGGGGTCGTGTGTATTCCTTTATCAGGCATCAGCCATCCTTTTGTTCATTGTTCATCAGACAAACGCCTGTCTTAGTAGCTTGGTAAGAATTCCTGTTCTCTTGAGTGTATGTACATAACAAAAGTGTTTTTTTTTTTTAAGATTTAGAAGAAAAAAGAAGATTTTAGTAATCTCTCACGATTTTCCCCTTTGAGATATCCATATTTTTTATATTCCTTTGCCCAGATGTTCCACACAGAGTAATACTAGGGACACGCTTTATTCTTCACCAGCAGGAAATTCTATTCTTGATCTAATTGACACCAAAATGCACACAAGGCATGGAGAGTAATAAAATAACTCTTCTTTAAAAAACAACAACCAAAAAACAGATATCTAAATGTAATGGTCCAAAGCGCACCGCAATAGCACTATTATGAATCACAATGTTTTGGACTAATTTGGTTCTTTCATACTGCTTGAAAAATGTAGACTGAAAATCATGGCATCTAATTTCCTTTGCAGTCCAGGATATGATGCCATTGAATTGTTGGAAAAAGGAAAGGGAAACTCATCCATAATGAGTAACACTGTATTTCTCCGTGGGCTTTTATAAAAACAACATACAGTGCTAAACACGAAGTGCTCGACCAGAACAAACATGATATTCAAAAAGTTTTAAGCTAAATCAGCATTTAGAGGAAATGAAGAAGAAGCAGGCAGAACAAGGAGAAGGGAGGGAAAAAAAGAATGTTTCTGACAAATTGTCATTCTTTTTTTTTTTAAATGCCAGTCTCCTGATCAGGGAAGGAAGTTAAGGAGGAAGGGCTGAGAAAAAGATTTCAGAAAGAGTCCAAGAATCAGCAGGGTTTTGACACACAAGTAAATCAGAGAGGAGAAGTTGAAAGAGAGATGGCAGAGCTGAAGGAAGAGAGTGGACTAGTCTTGGGGCAGAGAAGGCAGTGAAGGAGTTAATAATATTAGAGAAAGAAGGTAGAACTGAAAATAGAGCTCACAGAGTCTGTGGAGGAGAGAGAGATCAAGGAGCAAGAGAATCAGAGAGCAGAGATTGATGGACAGGATGGAGGAAAGGCAAACTGTGAGAACTGAAAATGAACAAGCCATGTTCAGAGAGGGGGAATTCTGAGACAGGTCAGAACAAGAAAATGTCTGGTAAATTCTGAGTCAAGGAAGTAGGAGAGAGTGAGATGTGGAGGGAGCCCAAAGGTGGAGCTGAAATATTAACAGAAGGAAGTCAGAGGTAGGGGAGGTAAACGTAGTTGTAAATGTGGAAGCCACTCTGTCAGTAGATAACCACTTGGTGGTAAAGGTGCAGGAGCGAAAGTAAAATTGAACTCTTACGGTACGGGGGCTGGCTCTTCCCCCCCAAGGGGCGGGGCCTCGGGTGGAAGGGGTGGGGCTGGGGGGGTCAGCATCCCCCAGCCAGCCCATCTGCACTGCCTGGCCCGTGCTGCCCAGGGCTCCAGCAGCCATTTAAAGGGCTCAGGGCTCTGGTCGCTGCCGCAGCAGCAGCGGTGGCAGCTGGAGCCTTGGGCCCTTTTAAATCGCCGGCCCTGGGGCAGCTGCTCCTTTTGCCCCCCCCCATCCCCATTGGCTGCTTGGGGGGCGCAAAAGGGGCAACAACGTTAAAGCGCTGCCACAGCAGTGCTTTAAGCAAGGTCCTTTGCCGCAGCAGCGCTTTGAAGTCAGCTGTACGGGCCGGTACCGACGGCCACTTTTTACAAGTACGCCGTACCAGCCCGTACCACCTTACTTTCATCCTTGTAAAGGTGATAGGAGATGGGTGGGAGAGGAGTAGGAGGGGGAAAGAGCAGGACCAATGAGGGAGAGAGGATCGGTGTGATGCAGCTGGGGTAATGAAAAGGCAAGTAAGAAGAGGGCCTCACCAATCAGAAAATTAAATGTTGTTTGTGGAGGAATCTTTCAGACATAACTTGGTTATGGGCACTGGTCTCTCTATTATAAGGCTAATGTGTTTTGTGACATGTCATTATCAATGAGGAGCTCAGCTGGTTTTAGTTTGTCATTTCAGCATTCCCACAAGTGGAACTTGTGATTAGTACTAAGTGAATCATTCTACTTTTATATTGTACTGTACTAAGGGATTAAGATTTTCAGGCAGCATGAATTTCTATTCAAACAAAAAAGGACACTGTGTGTGCACGCACAAGGGTGTTTGTAAAGAATATATAATCACACATATATTTTATATAATAAAATTATATAACAGATTTTAAAATAATAAGGGATACTTATTTGAACACTGTATGTGGCATACTTCAAAATACAATAAATCAAAGAAACTCCAACCCCTTACCATATACTGCAATACTCAGGAACCAGACAACAGAAAAAAATATACATATACATGCGCACACACCATACACATGGTAATAATGATGTTCTCTCTGTTCTGTATGTCTTTGAGAAAACTTCGAGTGTTTGCAATATTCTGACATGACTTCTGTGGAAAATACTATAATAAATAGCAAAAAATATTTTCTAGTTCTCAAGAGAGCCATGGATGGTTCATAAATTCTCAAAAATATTTTATATTCCTCATAATTCCACATCAGTGTCTTATGAACAAAACATTCATTTCATGGAGTCTATATTTCTGACTTTATTTTAAAACTAATTTTTTCTTTGATGAAAGTCAGATTGAATCTGTGAGTATGTTGTGGGAAAAATACATTTACATTTTTAGAAGGTGATACTGTGACATTTTAATAGCCACAGGGTAAAATAAGCAAACAGAAAGTTAGAGAAAGTTGTTAATCCTTAACACAGGATGCCATGCCCTTTTCCTCTGAAAGGAAGAGCTGAAAATCATCTATGATTGTATCATTTGTAATAATCTTGCTCCCTCTGGTGGCAACTGGAGGACATGTTAAAAACAATAATAATTTTGCATGGACATGTTAAAAACCTTAGCACTTAAAAAAGGTTTAACATTTGTCAACTGATGTATGACATAAAACATGTTACTTCAGTATTAGTAAACCAAAAAGATTTAATAATCAGATTTAGCATGTGTTATCCTTTACCTTAGATCTAATATCTAGATCTGGTTGAAAGATGGGAAACCTTTTGGAAAAAAATTGTACCTTTTTTCCTTTTAAAAGAAATTCAAAAATCATAATTTTTTCAACCAGCTCTGATGCTCCTCAAAAAAAGAATATGTTTTTGTGAAAGCTTTCTGAAAAAAAACACACTTTTTTTGTCAAAAAAAAATTTGAAATTCAAAATTTTTAACCTGTTCTACTAATATCACTATTAAAATCAAAAGTGAATTGTTACAAAATGTAACACCCAGTGTGGATTTCAGTCCAATGTAAACAAAATTTGGACCAACTGTGGATTACTGCAGCAATCTATCTGGACTTCATAGCTCACTTATGTGTCTCTCTTCTTTTTAAGCGCTGGCGTGGGTCGAACAGGCACATTTATAGTGATAGATGCCATACTAGATATGATGCATGCTGAACAGAGAGTGGATGTTTTTGAGTTTGTTACAAGAATCCGTAATCAGCGCCCACAGATGGTTCAGACTGATGTAAGTAAGCATAAATCTGTTGTGATCTTTTGTTCATTTATTGTGTTTGAAACAAACAATACATTTGTTTCTCAAACACTGGTGAATGTCCCAGTACTTCCTCCCGTCATTCGTCCACAGTAGGAATCACAGCGAGAGTAGGGTGAGCTGGAGGGTAACGGAGGGTCTGAGGATAGGTGGTAAGTAAGGGTTGTGACAATGCAGTCCTTTATTACTAGTTTCCGAATCAAATTCTGAGGGACCACTGCTGTGCTCTTCCCATTCATGTTCCCCTGTAGCACAGAATGTGCATGATCTAATAGGAAGCCATTGTTACAGCCACAGTCTTACTCTGTTAATCAGTAAAATGGCCTAAAACATCGGCAACCACGAGAGCAAAATGTATGTGCCAGATTTTGTTAAATTGTATTTAATTGCTTTACTTTAATTACTTTATGTTTAGTGTGCCTGTCGCTTATTCGTTCCAGATGCAGTATTCATTCATTTATCAAGCCTTACTTGAATACTACCTCTATGGTGACACAGAACTAGATGTGTCCTCCTTAGAAAAGCACCTTCAAGCATCACACACCACTACATCACATCTTGTCAAAACAGGGCTAGAGGAAGAATTTAAAGTAAGTAAAGAAGAGGGCTTGCCTCAAGATTTTAGGGATCAGGCCAACAAGACAACATGGTATGTAGAGAAAAGTATGGCATGTTTGAAAAACTGTCAGAACTAAGCAGCTCAGTTTCTGTTTTATTCCATTATTGGGAAAGATGAGGGAGGCTTTTCCTATATGAACTCTCAGGAGTGAGAAAATTATAATGTGGTGATGCCCTCATCTTTAAAGTGTGGTTCTCCTCTGAAAAGTGACCTCTAAAAATGACACCTTCTTAGTCAGCAGACCTACTCCCTGTGGGTGTTGAATAATGTTTACTTCTTCTTCGAGTAGTGTCCCTATGGGTGCTCAACTATAGGTGCGCTTGCATCCCTGCGCTGCTGATTGGAGAACTTTGGTAGCAGTGTCCGTTCAGCCTGCACACATGCTGTTCCCCCTCATGCTCTGCCACAAGACTAACCAGCATTGCATGGCCAAACCCCCCTTAGTTCTTTCTCAAACATCCCAGACTAGAGACGGAGCTGTTAGCAGTCCATTCGTCAGATCATTAACTCTATTAGAATTCAAATTTTCTTAGCCCTGGCCTACACTATGGGGGGGTATCGAGCTAAGTTACGCAACTACGTGAATAACGTAGCTGAAGTCGACGTACTTAGACCTACTCACCGTGGCAACAGTGAGTCAACAGCTGCCGCTCCCCCGTTGACTCTGCCTGCGCCTCTTGCGATGGTGGAGTACAGGAGTCAACGGGAGAGTGCTCGGGGGGTCGATTTATCGCATCTAGACACGATAAATCGACCCCTGCTGGATCAATCACTGCCTGCCGATCCAGCAGGTAGTGTAGACATACCCTTAGTCTTAAATTTCAGAGTAGCAGCCATGTTAGTCTGTATTCGCAAAAAGAAAAGGAGTACTTGTGGCACCTTAGAGACAAATTTATTTGAGCATAAGCTTTCGTGAGCTACAGCTCACTTCATCGGATGAAGTGAGCTGTAGCTCACGAAAGCTTATGCTCAAATACATTTATTAGTCTTTAAGGTGCCACAAGTACTCCTTTTCTTAGTCTTAGAGTTCTTCTAGTTGTTTTTCTTTCCCTAAACAAAAAAAAGAAAAGAAAAGAAAACTTTTCTCCTTGTCTGGGAATTGCATGGGATATGCCTAGTATACCAGGTTTTAAGAGGTGCCTCTTGTGCAAAGAGGCCATCCCAGTAGCGGACAGACATTCCTGCTGCATCTGTTGCCCCGGGGAAAGCCACATTTCCCCTGCAATTTAATTTGCCAGCAAGTAAAGTCCAGATCTTTGAAGGACCGAGAATTGGGACTAAACTCCTCCTCATGGAGGTAGCTCTCCAGCCATCCCCAGATCATCCTCCAGCCATCCCCAGGAGTCACCCAGGAGGCATGAATCTTCCTCATAGCCCTCGATATCTCAGGACTGTGAGTTGAGGAGACAACTGTGGACCCCTTATGTAAGGCTTCAAAACAGAGCACCATGAGTCCCCAGAGTGAGCCCCAGATTAGCTGAAAAAGATTTCCAGCAGTTTTGGTATCATTGGTACCAATGGCACCAAAGCCATAGCGGTACCCATAGCTCATGAGGATACAGTGTGGCAGGTACTATTGATGTGCCTAAAGACCTGATGGGCACAGTACCAAAGCAATAGTATTGACAGGGAAAGGTAAGGTCAGGGACTGCATTGCCTCCGGGAAGACACTGCCAGTATGGGCATTAGCCTTGGCATTGTCAATGGCATGCCATCCAGCCTCAGAGTGCCTGGTATGGCCCAGATCACTGATCCTTTCAGTGCCATCGACCCAGCAATGACAACTGCTGTCATTAATGAGTGTGACAGCACCGCAAGAGTTCAGATTCTCAAACCTTCCGGTATCTGAAATACCAGAGTCTCCCCAGCTCAGTATCAAGGCCCTGGAACAGAGTATACCTCGAACACAGGAATCTCCACTGATACCGGGTCAAATACTTCCATTTTCTAGTAAAGAATCGGATAATGAACAGGAGAAGATCATCTCCCATCACTCCTCCAATGATCCTTATAGTGCCAGTTACCAACCTGGGCTCCTTCAGTTATATCCTTGGTCTATTCCTCAACCACCATGGTATGGCCAACCCTGGGCCCAACCATCGGGACCCTTTCTGCCACCCCAGTGGTCCTGCTGGGATCCTAGGGTGGCGAACAGACTCCATGCTTCCCGAACATCCAGCATGGTCCACCATGAGCCTTTGAAGCACTCTCCCTCAGCCATGGTATCCAGAGCCTCTGAACCTCCCAAAGAGATCATGTAGGAACAAGAGATTGGATTTGAGGAGGTCACGTTACAGACCAACGTCTCTGCCTCCCCTCCAGATGAGGCAGTGATGTCTGCCAGAGATGGTGGAGAGGGCAACTTCAGGCTGTTTCAGGGTCTGGCTAACTGGGTGGCAGACACTTTGCAGGTATCTCTCAAGGAGCTAAAAGACACCCACCATAAACTCCTGGACATCTTACACTCCTCCTCTCCCTCCAGAATAGCTCTCCCCATCAACCAGGCCCTTCTGGATCCAGCCAAACTTGTATGGCAAACTCTGGCATTGGTCATGCCTACCTGTAAACAGCTAAGGGTATGGAATTTTTTTTTTCCGATCCCCTCTGTAATTCAATTGTTGTGGACACAGTGAACTCCCGAGGTCATCTACACCAGGCAAAGTCGACCCTCTAGGACAGGTATTGGAAACTGAGAGAAAGGCCTATTCATCCACATAATTGCAAATTATGAGGCCCTGACAGGAAAATAAGATTACGTCAATTACTGCAAGCTGAAAACATTTATTGATCAGCTCCCGGAGTCTCAACGGGAACAGTTTCATGCCATTATTACCAAAGGACAACTGGTTGCTGAGACAGCACTGCAGTCAGTGCTTGATGCAGCCACATAGCAGCCTGATCCATCTTCATAGCTGTCGTTATATGGCGAGTGTCATGCTTGCCCTTGTCCGGCTTCCATAAGGAAGTGAAAGCAACAGTAGAGGACCTCCAATTCGAGGTCACGGAGTTGTTTGCTGAGAAGATGGACGCATCTGGCCATACTCATAAAGATTTCAGACAACTCTGGGGTCATTAAGAATTCATACACCTGGACAAAAGAGAAAATCTATTCCTCAACCTCAACATAAATCCTGCACAGCACGCTTTCCAACTCAGTGCTTCTGTGAGACAAAAAGGAAAAAATCCAGGTTTCTGAAGTGCAATCAGATGGGCCCTCACTCTTCCTCCTCACAACCATCCACCTCAAAACATCTGTGTTTGGATGTCTTGGTCGGGGCACAAAGAGACCACTCCCCTCAAGAACAGCTGCAGATATCTAACCCATTGTATCCATTTGGGTGCCACCTTGCTCCGTTCAACAATTGAGAATGGATAAAATCCAATATATGGGTTCTGGAAATCATCCACAATGGGTTTTCCATCCACTTCACCTCCCTCCTCTTACCTCCCAACATCCTTTTCCGTCCCTCTTCAGGGACCCTTCTCATGAGAGTCGGCTACAACAAGAAATAGATCACCTCCTCTGCTTAGGAGCCATAGAACGTGTACCTCAGCAGGGCAGTCAGGAATGCTTACACTCACTTCCTTCCACTGATCAGAGATACATACGCAAGAGTCATGACAGACAACACAGCGTACATGCACTACATAAATCATCAAGGGAGGTGCCAGATCACCCTCCCTCTGTGTGGAAGTGCTAAAACTGTGGAATTGGTGCATTTCCCACAATGTTACAATATCAGCAGCCTGCCTTCCAGGAGCACAGAACACGACAGCGGACAGTGTCAGCCGCAAGTTCCCACATGACCATGAAGGGGAGATAAACCCAGCAGTATTATACGACATATTCAGACAGTGGGGGCCATAGTGACCTTCCATCAACAAATAGGGGGATACTCAGTATTTTTACACCCAACTACAAACATATACCCTCAAGGGCATAATAAACCTTTTTTCCCAACCCACACATCCCATCCCAACATGGGACTTAAATTTAGTGGTGAGGGGCCTGACTAGGCCGCCTTTTGAACCTATGGCCACTTTTTTGCTCTCACACCTGTGAATGAAGACAGCATTTCTGGTTGCCATCATCTCAGCGAGGAGGACAGTGGAGACAGTGGCACTAATGGCACACCCCGTTATATAGTATTCTTTCGGGACCTGGTTACTCTCAGACCGCACCTGTAGGTCATCCCCAAGGTGGCTCTGATTTTTCACATGAATCAACTGATTCACCTCCTGACTTTTTACCCTAAGCCTCATCAGGATAACAGGGAGGCTATCCTACACATGTTAGACATTAGGAGGGCTCTGGCCTTTGTCCTGGACAGGACAAAGACCTTTAGGAAATCTCCTAAACTCTTCCTTTCCATTGCAGACAGATCAAAAGGTACAGCAATATCTCCAGAGAGACTCTCAAAAAGGGTTTTGAAATTGCTATGTGATCTGCATAGTCACTCTTCCGTCTGAAATCCATACACACTCCATGAGGTCGATTTCCACCTCGGTTGCCTTCCTCAAGAATGTCCCTATTTCATATGTCCCTAATGCAGAGTCACCACCCTGAGTTGAGTGTACTTACCTTCAGAGAACACTACGACGTTTCAGGCGACTCTGCTTCCGATGGCAGCTTTGGCATTGCAGTATTATCATCTGTAACAGAAGTGACTCTCAAACTCTAGCCCTCCAAGGGGAGTGCTGCTCAGGATTCACCTACGGTGAAGCACCCATAGGGACACTACTCGAAGAAAAGAGAGGAAGTTACTCACCTTATACAGCAACAATTGTTCTCCCAGATGGGTGTCCCTATGGGTGCTCCACAACCCACCTTCCTCCCCTCTACTTTGGAGTTCTTGTCAGGGACTCTGCATTACAGAAGGAACTGAGGGGGGTTCGCCAATGCAATGCTTGTTAGCCTCGTGGAAGAGCATGAGGAGGATAGCGCATATGAGGGCCAAATGGACACAGCTTCCAAAGTTCTCTGATCAACAGTTCAGGGACACAAGTGCACCTACAGCAGAGCACCCATAAAGGGACACATCTCAAAGAACCCTCATTACTGCACAAGGTGAGTAACTTCCTCTTATTTTACTGATTAAAATAAGATTTTTTTTCACTCTTTCCTCCTGTTAGTGCTGCAAGACCAATGTTTCACTGGGAGAGTAAGCTGGATTACATTCTACCATCTTACTCATTTACAGAATTGTTAACTCAGTCCTGATTGCAGAACCTTTGTTACTGGTCATGTTGCACATGACAAGAAGAACCCAGCTAGACTTTCAGATATAATGTTGAATTTGCAGAGCTGTCAGGGAAGAAAAAACAAATATTGTTTTACTTACGAACTGAGCAGATTTGATCTGGAAGTCATTGAGAGACCATAATGGGAGAACGTCACCATACAGTTTTTACAAAGTCACTTTTAGAGTACAGTCACACTTAAAGGGCTTTGGGGAAAACTGTGTAGAATAACTCTTCTATGATGTATGTGCAAGTGTTTGTGCACTGCATATTTTTATTTTGTGTACAAGATTAAAGAATGAAAATGACATGGAGGCTGAAATTGGACCCATATATAGGATTTCTTTATTCAGGCATTTGGTCTTTTCATTACATTGACAATGACTTAAAAAAGAAAGAGATGCAGGATAGCTGGCGTGGCAGGCGCAATGCAAGGAAAAGCTTTGCATTGCTATGGAATATCTATGAGATAAGAAAAGCCCATGAGCACACTAAACGTCCTGCTGCACATCAGTATTCCTCTGGCTGTTTCCTACTCTTCAATCTGTATGGCAAGGGTCATCTGCTTTCTATACGTGCACAGAACATGGTTCAGTTTTGCCTTATGGGCTGGGACAAAAGCATGCTACAGACCATATAAAGCATATGCCTCTATCATGCTTCAGGAGCTTGGTTAAAGCACCTTTTGGCTCCATCTGTTCTGCAAGATAGAATTGTGGTTTAACCGTCTTGGGAGACTATCAGGTTGCAACTGGTTCCCTCATGCGATGGTTGCCATAGTGCAGACAGGGTCTCTGAAGGGCTGAAGAATGAAATCTGGGATGCACTGAGTGCTTTTTGTTAGCTTGCTGTTAAAACTAGAACTTCACTGGGATTGGGACATGCTTCAAAAACAGGCTGGCAAATAACTACAGTGAGGTGTTTGAAATTCTTCTTTCACTTTTAAAATTCAAAACTAATCTCTTTAAATTAATTTAAAACAGTTTGTGATTAAACTCTGTGGCTTGAATTCCTGTTGTGCTTAACCCTCTTTTTCAAATTCCTCCTTAAAACTTATTTCTTCCAAGAGACCTATCAAAGGTATTTTCCACTTACTTGTGAAGTTCTCAGAATGTCTTTTTTTTGAGTGCGAGGACTAAAGAATGAGAGTTTTAATATGTAAATAGAGGGAAGGATTACATTGGTAACAAAAGAAGGGTTAACATTCAGTTTGGGTTTGGACCATAAAGGGAGTTATGTTTGTAAAATACTTAAGATAAACTTTGAACACAAAAGCACATAAGTACCAAGCTGTGTGAGGCAAAACTTATCATGGTCTGTTTGGTTATTGACAATAACATCTTGATTGCTAAATAAAGTACCTGGCTGCCATCACAACTATAACAATGGCTTCAGACCTGTCAGGAAATAGTTATTCTCACTTATATGCAAAGATGGGACTTTTACTTCAGTGCTTAGCATTTTGAAACTACCATTTATGCAAAACTACTGAACTGTGGTTAGTGTATCTACAATTAAATAATTATATTCAATATTCTAGTCCAGTATTTTCATAGATGGCTAATTAATGGTTAGAACAGCTGCAGAAATAAAAGTGAGATTTATTATATAATCAACAGAAAACATGCAATCGAATTTTCAAAAGTGGCCAGTGATTTTGTGTGCCTCAATTTTGGGGTGCCAGATTTGAGGCACCTTGGGCCTGATTTTTTAGAAGCACGATCATCTCTAACTCCAGTTGAACTCAGTTGGAGCTTGGAGAGGTCAGTGCTTCTGAAAATCAAGGCCAAAGTGCCTCAAACTCACCATCCAAAAACAGAGGTACACAAAATTAGCCATTACTATAGAAAATTTTGAGCTTAAACTCTATTGGTTTCCTATTGAACTTCATTCATAACCTGAAATACTAATTAACTCAATAAAGTTTAGTTATATATAATTTATATTAGAACTTAAATTTTAAAGATAGGACAATGAATCATTTTATGTTAAGATAAAATCAGTCTCATTTTGGATTGATCCTTAACAAAGGCAGGTAGGAGTCCTTGGGAGCAGAGATAATGAGGAACACTTGATGACTATCAGCGAGTCACATTAGTTTATATTTCAGTTTAATCCAGCAATACATCATATCCTAACTGTTGTTTTGTTCACTGTAGAAATTAACAAATGTTCGAATAATGAAAGAAAACATGAGAACTGGCAATCTGCCAGCGAATATGAAGAAAGCCAGAGTCATCCAGATCATTCCATGTAAGACACGTTATCTTTTACGTATCTTTTATACATGCTTAGTTATAAATATGACAGATGGTTTCACTGCTGTCATAATTTCCTTAATGAGTAAACACCATTAACAGAAGAAGGCAACAGTGTTGTGGTGAGCTCACTAGTCAGTGCTCCTGCTAGGGCTGAAATTTGAACAAACTAATTTGTGAATTTAACTCTTAGAAAAGACTGTGAAATTTACCATGTATAGAGTTATTGTTTCTAAGGTTTTACTGTAGATGTGTGCAAATATATAAAACATTAAAGAAACAAATTCCTATTCAGAAGAAAAAGAAGATTAAACTCCTTTCACTGTAAAGCACAAACCCATCCAACCCTGTTATATCGGCTTGTATCCAGAGTAGTAGGCCATTTCCCCCCATGTCATGTCACCTTCCCCTCTAAGATCCCCAACTGCATCATTGACAGAGAAATCACTGTTCCCAAGGCCACCATCCTCCCCCTTCCTCACCCTCGCTGGAAGGCTCTCCCCGTGTGCAGCACCGTGCTCTCCAGCCATAGCTATTACCTTTTCTATCTTGAATTCTCCTTCCCCTCAGCCACCCTTTGATGTAGTTCCAACTCACCCCTCCAACTCATCACTCACCATCAATGATTGTGTGTCTTGCCATTTTCATGCTCTGCCTGCTGGGTCCTAGAGGTCGCTCATCCCCCTGGTCTGGCTCTGCTTGTCCTGTAGCACCCTTTAACCCTTGCATTGCAGCTGAAACAGCTTCTACTGCAACAGCATGCATAAATTCAATTAATTCTTGGTGTGCCTCCCTAATCCTTAATGCTAGTTGCCCCAGCTACTCACTTAAGGAAAGGGGTTCCCAGATAGGTTTCCCTTCCCTTTACCCCCCAGGGTAGGAGCACCCCATCCTCAATCCCCATGTGCTGGGAGGGGGGAATGCCCCTTTCCACTTCTCGTTGGGGCTTTTGTTTCTGAGCGGGGCCCTTTCCTTCTCTTGATCAGCCTTATGAAGTGACATATAGTCTATAGATTTAGTATGTCTGCCTGCAGTTAGTTGTGCTTTTTGCTGTTCTAGTTTCAGTTTAGAATATGTGAAGTTCATACATCATTCAGGACTGACTGAAATAATTTAGCTGTGTAACTTCTTAGACACTGTACATCAACAAGACTCATGTATTTTGTATATGAAAATTGTAATATCTGTATGTGAAAATATAATTCTCAGACTTTGCTTGGGATTATGCTGTACCGTTTGGCAAACAAAAATTATGTTACTGAATACTCACTGCGCTTTTCAATTCATTCCTCAGTCATTTAAATGTGGGACCTGATTCCGCACAGTCTTACTCACGTGACTAGCGCCATTGACTCACAGGATTGAGCCTCCTGCCACTTTTTTTCTTTCAGACAGGGAATTTTGTTGTTATATCTGTGAAAGTACAAGGAAGCAATTAATCTATCATCAGCAAAAGAAAACTAATAATGTGGAGATTTTGTTTTTTAGATGACTTTAATAGAGTGATTCTTTCAATGAAAAGAGGTCAAGAATATACAGACTACATCAATGCCTCCTTCATAGATGTAAGTACATATTTTATGTACTTAATTTGTTTACATTTGACTATTATGGTATAGAAGTGTTTTTAAAGGGACTCATCAACTTTGTTTAGGAACAAGATTTATGTTTTGTCAAAAAACAAAAGGTATGTGTGTTCAGGGGATGACTTGTAAGAGCAAATAGGGGTAGTTGTTTTTTCCTTTGGTGTTTTCAGTTTCAGAGAACACAGTTTTTTGTAATTTAAATGTTCTCTTATGCTCTGAACCCAAATACAACAATACTGTAGAGCCTAAGAGCCAAACTGAGATACAGACTAGCAACAGAAATGAAACTTATTTATATTTTATTATCTAAGCTAAATGCAATTAAAAAAATTTAAAAAGCAGACCTCAGACTCAATTTGTTTTGTCAGTCACAAAAGCAGAACTGGAATTGAGAGCAAGGAGCCAGTCTCTCCTGTGCTGCTGTTGTCGCCCCAGCTTGGCTGAGGCAGCATGGAGAAGCAAGTTGCCTGATATGAATGCAGCAAGGGAAAGAGCTGAACCTGTCTGTGGGAGATAGATTGGGACAAGAAGCCGGGAGGGGAGAGAGACTGAGATTGAAGGCTAGCAGAGGAGGGAAAACTGGCACTGGCTGGGAGACTGGGACTGGGAAACAAAGGGATAGACTATGACCGACTGGGTCTGGGACTGGGAACTGAGGAGGGAAAGGGGATAGGGGCTGAGATTGGACAAGGAGACTGGGGCTCACTTGGCAAGGAGACTGGGACTGGGAACCAGTGGAGGAGGGGAAGACAGATCTGTTGAGGAATAGGGGGAGAACTGGTACTGGCTGGGCAAAGAAACTGGGACAAGGAGCTTGTGGTGGGGATGTGGGTGACACTGAATTTGGATCAGGAGCCCGTGGATACAGGGAATGTGGATGGAGAGAAAAGGGACGACTCAAAGCCAGGAGCTGGAGGATGGGAGGGAGATCAGACAAGGAGCTGGTGAGGGAAACTGAGACTTGCTGGACAAGGAGACTGGGACAGGGATGAGCAGTCTGAGGACTGGAAATTAAGACTAATTAGGTGAGGAGAATGGGACTGGGATGAGGAGCCAGGGTAGGGAAGAGACAGGATTGCAACAGGAGCAGGTTGGAGGGAATGGAGTAGAAGGGCTCAAACCTAGAGAGAATGGGCAGAAGAGTCTGTGACAGCAAGAGCACACTGTCCCCCAGAGTCTGGAAGGAACCTCACCATTCCTCTGTTCGCAGATGGTTTTTTCCCCCTAAGATTTAGGAAATTACACACACACACCAGAAAAACCTACATTAGAAAAACATTATTAATGTTGCAAAGTCAAGCACTCAAAAGTTAGGAAATGCCAGAATTAAAGTTACCTGTGCAAAGCTCATGGGGAAATTAATAATTTCTGTCTTCAGTCCAGGGTTTGAATAGTACACAGTGAATAAGGGATGAAGCTACTTGTTAGACAATGAGGTTAAATAGCTGCTCATTAGGTGACCACCAGATTCACTGAGCGAGGCAGAGCCTGTGGAAAAAACAGTATGTGATCATGTCATTAAATACTGTTTCATAACAGGTATGCACAATGGAGCTGAATTAAGATTGCACAGGCAGTGTTAATTCTGTTTTTTTCCTAACTTCTGAGCCTTTGACTCCACAGTCTTAATAGTGTTCTTTTAATGTAGTTTTGTGTGTGTGCTCGTGCATTCGTGCACAATGAATACATATAGAGAGGCCTGTAGATTATGTCTGGTTGTATTTACTATGTAGTGTGTGATTTTGTGATCGAATTATTTGTGGTACCATTTGTCACATTACAATTAGGAGCACTCATAGCAAACTCTTATGGCACCTATAGCACCTGACTTGAATTGGTAGCAAATAGACATTATTAAAATGTAAAAACACATGCACATGCTTTAGAACAAGGGTTCACAACCTTTCTTGAATCATCTCCCCCCCTTTAACATTTTTAGTTGAAGCCCTTCACCTCCTCAGCCCACCCTTTACAGTCGTAAAAAGGATATTCACCTTGTATGTGTGCAAAACCCCTCCTAAAATTCACTTCTTCTGGGAGGTCCACAAACAGTAACCCACATGTTAGTTTGGTGTTGCAACACCGTGAAAAATGATGGAGGGCAGCCGGACCAAATTTGAGTGATGGTGTGAACCCAAGTGCCAAATCTCAACACCCCTCACTCAAATTTGGCGTGGTTCGCCATGCCATCTGGAAAGTTTTACATGCCCCCTCCCCCGCCATAAACCTATGCTTTAGAAAGATACAGATATCTTGCCAGCAGGCTACATGCTGAGAGAAGGAGTCACTCTTGCTGGTGTATGGAAGGAAAAGTGCATCTCTTCCTGATCTCATCTCAGCCTGGCAGTCTGTACCCTGGCTCGAGTCAGCTCAGGGTGGGCAGGCAGCTCTCTGAGTTTTTGCCTGGGAGAGGGCTTAAAGTTTTCAAAAGCACCTACATCCCATTTTCAAAAGAGACTTAGACAGTTAGGAGCCTAATTCCCATTCACCTTCAGTGAGAGGCTTTTAAGCATCTAAGTCACTTTCGAAAATGGGGCTTAGACTCTTAAATCATGTAGGGGCTTTTGAAAGGTTTACCCCATATCTTTAATAGCTACTTGGAGTGCCATAGGAGTAGCACATTCCCCCCAAACCCTCACCATATTGCATCCTCAGCAAGTTCCATATAGTTCTAGTGCTGCACTTGCTTGCTTTATGCACAAACATGGAAGGCCTTGTATTGATTTTTCTACCAGCTGAACTCTGCACCCTTGAGCCTGATTCATTCAGTGGTACAGAGTTAGTAGACAGCCTTAAAAAAAAAAGTATATTGGCTAAAATGTTGGCTGTTCTTCTAAATGACATTTTCTAGCTCAACTAGAATTTATGGGCTTGATGCAGGAATCAGTGGATGAAATTCTATAGCTTGTGTTAAGCAGAGATCATACTAAATGAACATAACAGTCTCTTCTGAGCTTAATCTATGCATATTGGCTAGTTTGAGGCTTAGATTTATTTCTGATGGGAGCAAATTCTAGAGGCAAGGGCCTTTTACTAAAATACCTTGTCCGCAGTTCCTGTAAGCTTCACTCTTGGGACTGATAGCTTAAGTGTTCACAACTAACACAGGCATTGTGGGTCAAGGAGAGAGTTAGTCTCCTGAGTAACTTGGGCCATTCGGGCCTTTGTGTTTGGTAGCCAAAACCTTGAATTTCACTCAGAAGTGGATTGGCAGATAGTACAGAGAGCAGAGGACAGGTGTAATTGCTCTCATCATTTAGCCCCAGTCAGAGGGCAGAGAACTTTGCTCTTCACTAACAGAAACATCCAAGTGGTCTTCAAAGTTAGTTCCACATAGGTAGAGTGTGTTGTAATAATCCAGCCTAGAGGTTACAAAGATGTGGATGATCAAAATAAAGCTAGCATCTGAGAAGAAAGAGCACAATCCTTTGCTCACTCACAGATGTACATCAGCATTTCTCGCCATGGATGCACTGTGTGTTTAGGAGCAAGACACCCCTCCCTCCCCCAAGATTGTGAATCAACTTGGGAATAGGTGGACAGATAACCTCAGAGAAAGGAGCAGTTATAGGACCTGATTCTTCTCCTACATTGTTTTTACACTGGCTTAACTCCATTGACAAAGGATAGCCCCTCCTGACTTTCACCAGTGTAAGTCACATAGAATCGGTCACGTAGGCTTTGACAGATCCTCAGAATGCTTCCCCCTTTCTCACTTCATTGTGAACTGCAGATACACAGCACCTTTACAAGTCCAGACAACTTTTAATTAGTTGCCTGTACTTAGACTTCAGTGCCTAACTTTAGGTACCCACAGTTTAAAATGTTGGCCATGGAATTGATGGTTGTTGGAATATTGATGGTACTATAGCCGTATTGCCACACAGTTATCTCAGTGCTTCACATAGACAAAAGAGGTGACACAGTGAGCTCAGCAGGACTCTATAACTGAGAACCCCAGGGAAGAAGGAGCAGCCACTCAACATCAAATTCTGGGAATGCTCTGAAAGGAGGTAGTGGAACCTCTCTAAAAGCAATTCTATTTACTTCTACTGTGGCTTGTAGTCATATCAGCACTGCTGAAGACAGTTTACAGATATAAATAAATCACCATGAGCATTTGGCCTTTGTCCAGGGCATTATGGAAATGGACAACTGTACCATTTCAGTGCCATCCCCAAGAAGAAATGGTTACTAGCCTTTCTGTAACTATTCTTTGAGATATATTGCACATGTCCATTCCAATGTAGATGTGTGCGTGCCCCAAGCACAGTTGCCAGAATTTTTTCCCCTAGTGGTATCCATTGGGTTGGCTCTAGCGCCCCCTGGTGTCGCATGCTCATAGCGTCAGTATAAAGGGCCCTGCCAACCCCACTCCCCTTCAGTTTCTTCTTGCCAACCACCTCTGAGAGAGGGTGGGTTTGGAATGGATATCTCGAAGAACAACAATTACAGAAAGGTTAGTAGCCATTTTTTCTTCTTTGATGCTTGTATATGTCCATTACAATGTATGTGACTCACAAGCAGTTGCACTAGTGGTAGGTTCGTAAATTGACTGGCTGACTGTAACGCAGCCCAGCCGAAGCCAGTATCATCTCTGGCCTATTGTGTAATGGCATAGTGTGTTGTGAATGTGTGAACCGATGACCAAGTTGCTGCACTGCAGATGTCCTGAACTGAAACTTGTGCCAAAAAAGCAGCAGAAAACACTTGAGACCTCATAGAGTGAGCTGTTAGGTTAGCCGGGGTGAGATGTTCGTGAGATCATAACATGCTCTGATACATGAGATAATCTACTACAAGATTCTCTGTGCAGAAATGGGGAGATCTTTCATTCTTTCCGCTACTGCTATGAATAGCTTAGTGGATCTGCAGAATGGTTTGGTTCTTTGTATGTAGAAAGCCAAGGCACACTGAATGTTCAACGAGTGGAGGCATTGTCCCTCTCTATTCGCATGTGGCTTAGAGTAGAACACTGG